TGTGACTAGGCCCATGTTGGATTCTAGCACAAATACATTTAGGAATCTCATCACTGGTACCACTTCAACAATAATAGTGTAAGGACTTTTGCTTGACTAAAAGTGTCTAGAAATGAAATAAGAACTGCAGCTTTAGGTTTATTTCATTTATCGAAGGGGGAAATCTATATTACACTGCTCAATTTTAAACATTTCCTAGTTTGCACAATTGGCAATGAGGAAGTTAGACCAAAGAGTCTTCTATGTTCACTTAATTTTGGTGGTTAAAAATATGGACTCTGGCCGGGTTTGGTGGCTCAGCCTGTAATCCCGTGCCTTTGGGAGGCTGAGGTGAGTGGGTTGCCTGAGCCCACGGGTTCGAGACCCGCCTGGGCGGCGAGACCTCAGCTCCACAATAAATCAAAAAAATCAGCTGGGCATGGTAGTGCATGCCTGTAATTCTGGCTACTTGGAAGGCTGAGGTGGAAGGATCGCCGGAGCCCAGCAGGTCGAGGCTGCGGTGGCTGGGAGCGGCCACTGCACTCCAGTCTGGGCGACCGAGTAAGACTCCAACTCAAAAAAAAAAAAAATGTGTTAAAAAAAAAAAAAAAAGAATATGGACTCTGGATTCAAAGACCTGAGTTTCCGTGAGACTCCATTACTTAAGATCCAAGTAGTCTATGCCTGTTTCCTCATTTGTGAAATGGGAGCAATAATAATACCTATCTCACAGGGTTGTGACGAGGTTTAAATGAAAGAATCAACAACAACAGCTCAGCCCAGTACTTGGCAAGTAGTGACTACTAGATAATGTAAACTGTGATTCTTCCCAATTTACTGACTCCGCTTTGAATGTGTCATTGCATTTGTGCCCAGATAATTATCCAATGTACAAACTCATGTCCATAGAATGAAGAAACATTCAAAGCCTGGTTGAGAAGTGGAGGTCAGCATTCTAGACACTGGAAATGCTCTGGGAGAAATTGGAAAGAATCTTGCGTGTATGGAGAGTGTGTCCGCAGGACAGTTTGTTGGGCCACGCCCACAGACGGAATGACTTTTTATCAACTTCAGTTTTGTGCAAATTGCAGGAAACAAATTTGCTCTATTTTCTAAAGGCAAGGTAATGTGCAATTAGTAATTCATCCGTATAGATAAATAGCTACCCTGGATTTTCTTGGGCAGAATTCTTCTCCCTCTATCAAGCCTCTTCCAGAGTGCCTCTTCCTGAAGTCACAGTAAAAGCAAAAATCTTCACAAGGCCTGCAGGTTTTATCCTCATCTCCAACTTTCCTGCTGTGTTCCCGCTGGCCTCCCAGCTATTCCTGGCATGCGCTGGCCTTAGGGCCTTTGCACTTCTTCCCTATGCCTGAGAGAGACTCATGGCTGACTCCCTCACTTTTCTTTTGGTGTTCTTTCCTGATCCTGTTTAAAATTGCACACTCATCCACTCCTCTGGTCTGTCCCTCTTTCTTGTTCTTTTTCTCATTGGCATTATTGCCTTCTACAATGCTTATAATTTGTCTTGTTGTTTCTGCATATGGGCAGAGATTTGTGTGTTTTATTCACTGCTATATTGCAGGTGTCTGGATCAGAGCCTGGTACCTAGTAGTGCTTACTGTGGAATGACTGCCAATGAATCCACATACCAGTTCAACAGGCGAGCCTTGCCTTCAGTGGTCTTTCCAGCACGATACTCTCTGAGGGCTTGATTCAGGAGAGGTGTTTCACACTATTCTTTCAACAGAACAGATAACATATCATTGGCTTGATTTCATGAGCCAGTATTTCAGCCACAGCATCATCAAATGACCTATATAATGTAATGTCAGAAGGGAGTGTCATGTAACTGTCTCAGTAGTCCTGTAAACCAAACCAAAGGCTGTCCTTTATAGAATGAATGCACTTGGTTGCTAAAATTTCTAGCTCACAATTTTTGGTTTCTCAGGAATCTTTATATGACACTGCTAATTTACCTTTTATCATTGATAATATTTTGACATAAGCCCTATTTTTCCTCTAAAAGGGATTTTATTTTAGTGATGGGCCCATGAATTATCTTTTCTTCTTACTTTTCTACATTTTCTTCAATAAACATATATTACTTTAAAATGATAAATCATCAATGACCTTTTTTTCCTTTCTACTAAGTCTGCATAACTCTTGTATAAGGCAAAGAAACTTGTTAAAAATCTCATGTTCAAACTCATATCTCTTGTCAAAATTCCTGGGAGACCTGACTGAGGAACTGACAATCCCATCAAAAGAGGAGAGGGAAGATTTGGAATTTGGCAAGATTATCAAGACTGGAGGAGTTTATCATCCAGGAATTCAAAGGTATTCTCAAGAAACTGTGACTGGGGAGTGGAATTTGACTTTATACTCTAGGCCACCAAGGGCCTGTGGATAATAAACGTTTGGAGTTTCTGAAAAGCCTCTGCGGTGTAAAGATTACATCTGGCATCCAAGGATGTGGCATGAAGTCACTTTAAAAAAGAAATGCATGAGGTACTTAAGATCAAAAGCTAAAATGAGATTATGGTAAAGTATACATATAGGCCGGACTCGGTGGCTCAGCGTGTAATCCCAGCACTTTGGGAGACTGAGGTGAGTGGATTGCCTGAGCCAGCAGGTTTGAGACCAGCCCCGGCAACTTGGCAAGATCTCATCTCTACAATAAATCAAAAATTAGCCAGGTGTGGTAGTGTGCACCTATAGTTCCAGCTACTTGGAAGGCTGAAGTGGAAGGATTGCCGGAGCCCAGCAGATCAACGCTGGGGTGGCTGTGAGCATGCCACTGCCTCTAGCCTGGGCGATGGAGTGAAACTCTAATTCAATACACACACACACACACACCATAAAAGTGCTTCCTGTGATGTCAAGGACTCTGCAAATATTTGTTGCTGATGTTTCTGATTACCTGGGCCCTGAATTTATCTGAAGAAAAACTGAGTTTCAACATCACAGCTAGTTGTGTGACTCTGAAGCAGTTACTCTACCTTTGGCGGAGACTTTTGGCTTTACTTACTTCTAGCAATAGTTAGAAGCTCAGATGGATGCGAAAATGTTTTGGAAAGCATAATGCATGATAAAGTTTGTGGTGTTATTTTGTAGCCTTCAATTTGGTCAAGGCCTCCTTGGACCTTAAAATATAGAGAACACCTCTTCCTATGAGAATCCTGTTACATAAGAAAAGCCCTTATCTTAGATGATATGCTCCCAAAGTTAACATTTAAGTAAATTCTTTTGCTGCAATGATTTTCCTTCCATATTAAATTATTTCCTTAAAAGTTCGGCAGGAGAAGAGTTTGTTTGATTTTTTTTAATGGAGGCAGCTATGGTGCCGCATGCTGCTTTCAATTTACCAAGTCAGGGAGCTGTATTCGGGTGGGAAGCCCACATCCCCATCCCTGAATAATGGAGTGTCTGTACTGGGAAGCCTACACTACTTGGAAAATATAGGGCTCCTCTCTGTTTCTGGATGTGGCAAGGATCCCCAGGACTGGATGAAAACAACCAGAAGGCAGTGAGAAGAGTTGCAGAAGCAACAGCAACAGGAGATTGCGGTAGCTTTAAGGTGACTGCCTTGCTGGAGGAAGGATGTTTGCAGCCTCTGAAGGGAAAGGGAAGAGAGAACTCTATCTTTTTGAAAAGGTTCTGTTCAAAGCAGGTCCCAGGCTTCCCAGGCCATCTGGCCCTCAGGCTGTGATTGGAACCAAGATATGGGGAGGATCTTGTTATGGTCCAAGTGGAAGATGCTGGTCCTCACTAAACAGGCCGCAGAGTTTGTATCTGTTTTTCCCGATATTACACTTGCCACCAATAAGTGCTCGATGAATTCTTGCTGAATCAATAATTGAAGAAGGGTTAAACTAGTAATAGAAGCATTTTCAAATGCCTAGAGCTCCTGCTGGTGATAAAAAAGGGTTTAGGAAAGAGGCATTGTGCATAAACCTACGTGGAACCTCAAGTCTTCAAAATGCTGTTTCCCTCCTCTTGTGACAGTGCTGTAGCCTGGAGCCGCAGGAGCCTGGAGAATCCCCACATATTTAAATATAATAAATCTATTTAAATCCAGGAGTGCAGGCTACAGAATCATTTGGTTAATAGAGGCCACATTTCACAACCCACATACTATAGTATCTGTTGTAGTAAAATTATAGCATAATTCGTAATTTTTACATTTCAAAAAATGTGGTTAATGAATTCAAAATTTTGAAATCTTTAATATTATTATCAGTGTTTACTTAATTAGATTGAAATCTTCAGAGAAATCAACTCTGTATCTTTTGGGGGGGCAATTTCTTCTACTCATAAGTAGGGGGTGTATATATTTTGAGGATTTGGATATGGAGTTTTTAAGCTTCTACACTTTCCTACTTTTAGAAGGATGTAAAGGGCTCTGACCGCCTTCTGGCAATGTTTGTCTAAATAAAACCTTTCCTTAGGCTGGGTTTCTTCAAGGTAGTCCTATCAAGAGCCTTGTCAAAGAAACAACCGTTGACACTACAACAATTCATATACAAAATCCGTTTAATGGTTATTCATGTAAGTAGATTTATGTAGACAGAAAATAAGGTTCTTCTTTTTTTTCTTTGCCAAGCAATCGAGCAAAACACAAAACCAACACAATTAGTAGGCAGAAGCCTTGGAGACAATGGCTATGCCCTCTCTGAGTAAGACATGAATGCCATCTAGACGATCCATTTTGAAACTACAGCAACCAAAGAAAATGTTTTCAAGCATTAGGGTACAATTTGTGAACAGGTGGGAAGGTAGGAATGAAGTAACTTCATTCTTTTTTTTTTTTTTTTGAGTTGGAGTTTCACTCTGTCACCCAGACTGGAGTGCAGTGGCCGCTCCCAGCCACCGCAGCCTCGACCTGCTGGGCTCCGGCGATCCTTCCGCTTCAGCCTTCCAAGTAGCTGGAACTACAGGCACGCGCTACCACGCCCAGCTAATTTTTTGATTTATTGTAGAGATGAGGTCTCGCCAAGTTGCCCAGGTGGGTCTCAAACCCGCGGGCTCAGGCAATCCACTCATCTCAGCCTCCCAAAGTGCAGGATTACAGGCTGAGCCACCGAGCCTGGCTGTACCTTCATTCTATATCTTAAACTCCTACCATTCTTTTCAAGCTTCTATTAGAAGACTCTTGAGAATACTGTTATTGAATGAAGTATTTTCAGCTTATATTGGAAATGAAACCGCCACATCTTAAGAGTATCAACACTAGCTTGTCAGTGAATACAGGTCAGGAAGAAGCAGGCCAGAGAAAAACAAGACAAATGTGTCTCCAGTTTGCTGTGTCCTGTTATCTTCCTCCCTACACTGAGTAAGGCCTCAGACAAATCTATTAGAATTTTCACTCACAAGATGTAAATAATTGTTTAGGTATTTCAGAGGTAATACATTTACATTTGAATACATTGAAAGTTTTAATTTAAAAAGAAAGAACCAGCAGCATTTTCAGTGGATGTCAACTGTTAAAGAGGCTATGGAGGAGCAAGATGGCATCTTGTTTATAACAGTCTTAATTATTCCTTTTAAATAAGCAAGGTCTGTTATTTACTGCTACACTCATTTTAGTGAAAATGTTTTAAAAGAGATCTTTAAACCCTCAAGTCTGAGTAGTTAAAAACATCTGCATTTCTTGTGTTTATAAATTTCTAACAAGATACTGGTATTTTGAAGGCATATCACAGTCCTTTACCTCAATGCCTTGCATGTATCTCTTATTTAAAAATGCTTCTTTTTTCTGCTCACACCTTGGGTGGCCAAGGTGCATGGACTGCTGGAACCCAGGAGTTCAAGAACAGCCTGGGCAATATAACAAGACCCTCATCTCTACAAAAAACAAATTTTTTAAAATGAAAATTGGGTGGGGTGACGCATGCCTGTCGCCTTCGCTCCTCAGGAGGCTGAGGTGGAAGGATCGCCTCAGCCTAGGTCAAGGCTGGGGTGAGCTGTGATCATGACGCTGCACTTCAGCATGAGTGACAGTGAGACCCTGACTCCAATAAATGTTTCTTAAAAAAAAATTCCAATCACTTGAGGGACCAGTACTTGTATAAATTAATACTGTGTGTCAGTATCTAAGTTCGGAGCCTCTTTCTGTCCTCTTCATGTCACCAGTGTGCTCTACCTCCTGTTCTCTCTTCTTAAAAATACCTGAATTGGACTTGCAGGTCTCTACCCACAAACATCCAGTTATAATCAGGAGCTTGACCTACACCTTCCTCCCTTCTGCCCTTTTCCCTCACTTCTCCCTTCAACTTTTAAAAGAATATAGTCTTTGACTCCATAATAATGAACATCTCAAACACTTTATATTTTAAATTGAAGCTCTACTTGCAATGTATTTGCACAATGCCCCCTCATCCCCTTGTTCAGGCCAACCCATTTCAGCTTTGTTAACTTTATTTGCCATGAATTTGGCCTAGACACCAAAAGCTTGTGTAAGACACTTGGGTAGCACAGAAGTTCAGATATTTGAGGATTAACGGAGAAATCCATCTAGAAAAACAACATAGCTGACAAGACACACCCTCTCTTGATATAAGAATTATAGGAAAGCTTCAATTGAATATCTTTTTGTGTGTAGTCAAAATAGATTGAAAGTCTTTTGACTGAGAAGCAATTCTAGTTCTCTGAAGTTTCTGTCATCCACTGGTTGAAAAGCAATGAATTCTTTTTCTTATTCCAATAACCCAAAACAGAATCTTCCACATGGGCATATATTAAGCGTTCATACATTTCCATTTATAAGGCACAAAACCCACAAAATCTCTCAGAGAAAGGAGGAAAACAAAGATTTGAAGACAACAAAATAATCTAATAATAGAGGAGGTTCGTCAAACTGGAGTTCAAACAACTTCCTTTTTCAGTAAATAGAAGACTTTATACTGATAGGAATCACAGCATCTGGGAGAGGGCTTCCTAGCCCTTCTTTGAATGCAGCCTCCTTCACTGGATTAGTGCAGAACTCAATCCTCAGAGAGGGCTGCGATGCCAAAATACATGGATCACAAGCACCATCTTCCCACAGAAACTGCTGGGCAGCAAAGTTCCAAACAGAGCATTTCAGCTACAGGGAGCCTGGTTCACATGTTCTCATAGGAAGGAGCCTTTCAGGGACCAAGCCACAGTGAACACGCATGCTTGCCTGTCCTGGGACTTGATTATGGGTTTTGTTCTAAGCAGAGGAAAAACTGCTTGCCTGAAGACCCTGAATTGGGGTAGTTACATGGGTCCTTCATGGGGGCAGCATCTATGTAGGAAGCTGGGCCTTCAGTTCTTTTGAAATAATCAGATCCCTAAAGGAATCTTTAGAACGAATTCACCCTATCTCTGGCACCGGGCAGAAGAAGTAGTAGGTGCTGACCAGGAAGAAGAGGATCTGTACGATGTGGTACCAGGCTGCCTGCTCCTGGCTTTTTAAACATGCTGGTCAAACCTGAAGAAGATTCCTTGCAAACCCCAGACCTAATAGCTTCCAAATGGTCTGGTGGTCCACAAGTATAAAATAGAAGGGTCCCATGACACCACACAGTATCCATGCTCCTTGGCTGGGCCTCCTGATGGTACTTGGCACAGTAATTTCTAGTACCGTGTACGTTAGTATTATATGAGAAGAAGCTTCCTGAATGTCCACATGAATCCAAGCACTTCCTGGAAGTATAACTGCTTCCAAGTCCTTTATGTTACCATGCAAGGTAGGGATGGGAGTGAACAGCACTTGAGAGAAAATAACCAGGCAGTCATCCTGAGAAAGGGTTAGTATTACAGTAGAAGAGAGAGAAGGGACCAAAAATCAGATGAACTGAGTAATTCATTGTCTAAGGGTTTCACTGAATCATCTTGAAGATTCTGACTTTTCCATCCAATTTGAAATTCAAATCCAAACCCTAGTCCTTGAGTTAATTTATTCAATTACTGAAAATCAACATAGTAGGATAGCCATTCCAACAGGGAGAGGATTAGCTACCTATTTCCTTTCCAGTCCAATTTTATCACCCATTCAGCTCTAAGAATTGCCCCAGAAGTAATAAGCAATACATTTTCAGGCATAAGGATGGTTCTTGTTAATTCAGTGTCCCATGAATCTTAGCCAAGATCCCTTCTCTTCCTGTGCCTGTAAGGCTATGACCCAAAAGAAAAGAAAAGAAAAGAATGCTCCTCTTACTAAAGACAAAACTCTTGAAACCTTTGGCTTTCAAACGCTGCAGCTATAACATATCCTTGGACGTAGGTATTAATTTAAAAGCCAACCCTTAAGAATACAAAGTCAACTTCTATTGCTGCATCAAGTTTTCCCCAAATCACGATGGACTGCGTCCACACCTTGCCACACCTTCCAGCCTCAGGAATCTTTCTTCGTCAGTCTAGCCTTGACTTTGTGCCTCAGAAGGGCAGCGGTGGCAGCGCTGCAGGCGGCCAAAAAGAAGAAGGAGAGGCAGGCCGTGTAGACAGACAGGGGACCATGGCGCTGCAGGAAGATCTCCTGCCGCCCCTGGTAGTCCAGGAGGATGGCCTCCAGCTGTGAGAGCGTGCAGATGGACAGAAAGGCATGGAAGATCTGATGCCCATGGCCCACAATGTCACAGGAACCCGGGAAATACTTCTCTGGCACCGGGCAGGAGAAGAAGTAGGCGCTGACCAGAAAGAAGAGGATCTGGAGGGTGTGGTACCAGGCTGCCTGCTCCTGGCAGCCAGCCAGGTGGCAGAGCGCCACGCGGTGTGCCACAGGGCTGATGTCTAGGACGAAGGCCAGCCCCGCCGGCACCACTTGACAGATCTTCCTCATGACTGGGTAAGGCCTCCGGTATCGATACTTGGCGTAGCAACAGCCAGCACAGGATAACCAGCCGCAGAAGGCTGCTGCTGGCAAGAAGAAAAGCCAGAACCGCTCATACCAGGCCTGGTCGGAGCTGTAGAAGAAGTGGGCCAAGGCACTGCCATATTGGTAAACGCTCACGCCAACGTAATCCACAAAGTAGAAGGTGTAGTGGGAGAGCTCCGATTTGGACTGCAACAGGTGGGCCAGAAGGCTGCAGGTGAGGTAAGTGATGGAGGACAGGATGAACAGGAGCAGGGGCAGGGAGTGAGGAGAGGCCCAGGGCAAGGCCTCGGCCTCGGTAAAGGCCCAGAATCGCAAGAGGACTGCCAGGGCTGCCAGTAGGTGGGTCCAGACGTTGACCACCTCATTGTGTTTCTGGAAGAGGCTGAAGAAGTAGTAGCGCCACTCGTGCCCCGTGGGGCGGTAGCCGGCCCGGATGTATGGCTCCCGGAAGAGCTGGGGCACATCCGTTTCCGGGACGGTGCAAGGCATCTTGGGAAGCCCATCCTCCAGGATCTTGGGCAGGCGGCGCAGCTGCTGGCCGCTGACGGACAGGGTGCTCAGGCGCTCCAAGATGGCGGTCGTCATGGCCACGGCCTTGCCGGGCTCTGCGCTGCACGCTTGGGACAGAGGATGCGGCCTGGAGGAAAGAAAGGAAAACTGGCAACGCTGCTGTGCAACCCGAATGCAGCCAAGACGGCTAAGGAACTATGGCTTTTCTTAACGGAACACGGCTTTCGAGTGTTAAAGTGGAGCCTAATGTGGCCTCCTTGCATATTTTCAGTTCTACCTGGAGGTCGCTCCGTAGCCTTTCTTATAGTGAACTGTAACCTAACAGGAAGTGTAAACAGACTACAACCTACTGTTGCGACAGTCACCAAATTGCGGCCAATCACAGGCAGCCAACTGTTCAAACTGGGTTCAAATAAGGCAAAGGCTGTAACCAATCCAGCTGTCTCTATACCTCACTTCTCTTTTCTGTGTGTCTCTTGCCTTTTTCTGTCCACCAGGTGGATGCGCCGTAGTCTCTCTTAGCCCACCGTCGTTCAAAAGGCTGCCCAATTGGCGCAACAGTTTATTGCTCCATGAACTGTGTTAAATTTAATTTGTCTAAGGTTTTTCTCTTATCAAGAGTGCAGTGGGGCGAGCAGAAGACTGCAGACCGTTTCTCTGGGCCTCCTTTTCTTCATCTGTAGGATGACGGGGTTGGACCAAGATCGCTTATTGCCCCGACATTCTGATTCTGTGTTTACTGCTCACCACAGTGTGAGGCAGAGTCACATCTTGTAAAATGGGAATGTTAGCTACCCTAACAACTTAATGATATTGATAACACATCAAGATGTAATAATATCTATAAGGTAAGCAAGGTTACCTTTAGATGGTATGAGGTTTTCTAGATGTGATTAAAATGTAATTGTCAGCCGGGCTTGATGGCTCAGCCTGTAATCCCGCGCCTTTGGGAGGCTGAGGTGAGTGGATTGCCCAAGCCCGCGGGTTCGAGACCCACCTGGGCAGACAAGACCTCATCTCTACAATAAAATCAAAAAATTAGCCGGACGTGGTAGCGCGCGCCTGTAATTCCGGCTTCATTGGAAGGCTGAGGCGGAAGGATCGCTGGAGCCCAGTAAGTTGAGGCTGCGGTGGCCGGGAGCGGCCACTGCACTCCAGTCTGGGCAACAGAGTGAGACTCCAACTCAAAAAAAAAATGTAATTGTCAGCCAGGCTCTAATAGCATAAAATATCATATTGAAATATTAGAATTATAAATATTGATATTGATATAATAATAGCCTGGAATTCTTTAGCACCCAGCTAATCTTAAACTATCCATTAATTTTACTGGCAACTTGAAAATCTGAGGTTAAGTGATTGAACCTCAAATTAGACAAGCAAATGATTCACCTATTAGGTTGGTAAAGACCAATGCACATTCTGGGATATCTTAACAGTTAAAATTAAATGTGATCTAAAGTTTACATAAAATCTAACTGCAAAGTTTTTTGTTTTTTTTTTAACTAGCGACAAATTCCTGATCAAAACCCAAGTGCCCATGCAAGATTGTTCTTTTTTTCTTTTTAAATATGCTCTGGAAAGCAAGTCGTTTTGAATTTGCCTCTCCTTGGAAACTAAATCTGTACTCAGTGACTTTGAGGCCTCAGAAATGCTTAACATACACTAGAAATTTTTAGGTGAAAGATGAGCCAAATGAACACAGCAATTATTTCATAAAGCATTTCACAAATTGCTGCAAAATTTCATGTGAAGTTACCAAGTGAAGAAATAGATTTGACATATCTACAGTTACCTTCTATACTTATAGTTCCCACTCTTTTTTCTTCAGAAAAGTTCAATACCTGATTTATTTAAATGACTCTCTTACTTCAGGGATCATCAACCGAGACAGAGAACAGCAAGTATTGCTCAGGTTACTACTAATTTTAGCAAAGAAAATGTAATATTTCTCATGCTTCTTATTGAAAAAGAAAAAAAATATGAAAAATATTGAAAGAGAAAAAATAATCAGGTAAAAAATATATAGGGCATGAAAGTTAATAAAATGTGAAAGAAATTCAGGAAGTCCTGGTCAAGGTCTGATTTTGCCACTTACTGGGGTGACAGAACTCTCTCAGCCTCAGTTTTTTCATCTGTAAAATGAGAGTAATAATTTATATGGGCTGTGATGGTAAATGAGTGAGTCTAAAACAATGAAGCACTTAGCACTCTTCCCAGCCCAAGATAGGTGCTCGGTAAATGTGAAGTATTGTTGTTATTTTTATTACAATAAGCTGGGCTCTGTGCTAGGTACTAGGGATACAAAGACCCATCTTGCCTTCAAAGATGTCAGTCTACTGAGGAGACAGACATGTGGGAAAATCAAGACAAAAATGTGCAGTGAGTGCTCCACTAGAGGCAAGCACTGGTTCATGGGGTGTCTGTAAACACAACCAGAATAGAAGGCAGGGGTGGGGAACAGCCCTCTCTGAGTGACCCCTGAATCTTGAAGGTACTGAGGCTTGAAGGAAAAGTCAGAATTCCTGAGGGAAGATAAGCAGGGGAAGAGACTTCCAGGCAGAGAGTAAGGTCACGAAATTGGTCCAGAGGTCATACCAGTGTCATTCACAGTATAACAATAGTGCCAGAGAGACCTGAGCTCCGATCCTGAGCCCCACCATCAACAAGCTGTAGACTCCAGCCTGAGCTTTGTCATCTGTGAAGTAGAGTTAATGACAGAGAAGCTGTCTTGTAAGGCTGAGCAAGAACTATATGACATAATGTCTGTAAAGTGTTTAACAAAGTACTTTGTTCCAAGTCTGCAGAAACATCTGCTATTATTATGACCATGGCTGGTGTGAGATGCAGGAATCATTCATGAATGGAAGCCCTAATATCCCCTCTGGACCTTGAACCTACTTCTATGTCAGCTGCTATAACCCTGTACTGAGGGAATGGTTTAGCCAGCACCCACCAGACAGTGGTCTCCTACCAGGAACGGACTATGAATTCATCATGCTCAATATAGGAGTTAAAGACACCAAGAGAAATGTATTCAGGATTACATAATTAGTCAGAAACAGAGATACAGGAAGAGGGAACATGGAAAAGAGAACATGCTTGTCAGACTACCTTAATTCATTGAAAAAGGAAAAGAAGAAACACTAAGCAGTATTTCCACTGTCAACCAGCAGAGGGATCTGAGTACCTGGGAGTTAAGTTCTGGCTGGCAGCTTCTCCAATTGACCTTGAAAGACAAACTGCAGCAATGGGCCTGGGACATGGGATGACTCCTCAAGTTGTCCTGTTGCTGCTAGCAATGTACAATCTGGGAGAACTGGGCTTGTTGGAGCTAGCTCTGGGGAATTAAAGTGGACTATTCTTTCGGTACAAGCTTCTACTGTCTCTTGTGAAGCAGGAAATCAGATGAATTTACCAGTCTTATGGCTGGAAGAGTTCAAGATAAGCCAGTGGGGATATAAAGTTTTAGAAAAAGAATCCTTAAAGACACTCCCCAGTAGGTCCCATCTGTATGTTGTGTAAGACCAAGGGTGTCTTCATCACCTTTGGGTGCTCAAACCAATCTGAGATAATTCTTGCATCCAGAGGTAAATAATATATGACTACACAGTTCCTACTTCATATCATTAAAATAGGATGTCTATCACATAGCACGTTCTTGCAAACCAACAACTCCACTGAACTTCTGAAGACTAAAATGTTGGATCGTGGTAGTTCAGTGATTGGGATGGAGCACAATTCAGACCTGGGAACTAACTGGCATCTGTCTATTCTAAGAGAAAGAACAGAACGTGATGCTGCCTTATTGTTGGTCTGAAAAAAACCATGCAGTGGCATTAGTGGTCAGAGCTGTAGAACTCTGACCATGGGAATTCCTCCAGCCCTGATGTCACCAACCTCCCCCATGGCTTTATAGTAACAAGTCCTTTTCAGAAAATTGTTGTTTCTACTTCACTCTTAAGAAAAATAAACTAGGAAGAGATTTATACAGCTATGAAGCAGATATACATGACCAGAGGGTATTAACTTTAACTTCAAAGGAAAAGGTGCACAGGGGGAAGAAAAGGCAGAATAGTCATTCCTTGCAAATGAGATCTTTAAAATGCAGCCACACCAGTCTCAGGGTCTCTTTAATAACTCCATTCCTTGGAGTGTATAACCCGGTACTCACAAAAGGACCTGGTAGTTCAGGAACACAACCGCTGTGGCCTCCAACTCAGAATATGTTTCCTTATCTCCCACAGCAATAAGAATATTGCAAAGATCTAAATCCTCTATCTGTGGGTGAAAAGAAATTAAATTTCTTCTTGGAAGTGCAGGGTCATAAAAAATTCTAAACTTGTGGTCAGAAAGAGAGGCTTTTTTTTTTTTTTTGGTACTTCTTAGCAACTACCTCTTCCCCTACTATGAAATTTTTCCTTTGAAAGCAGCCAACACAGTCACCATAATGGTAATGAGTTACAATTCTTTTATCATCATTAACGTCAGAAGCAACTGTACACTGGGGTCCAACCTCCCCTTAGATAGACCTCACTTTCACCAAGCAAGACTGGGCAGTACTTCCAGGATTCAAAGGGCCAGCTCTAAAGTTTGAGCCTGTTTTGGAGAAAACCACCTTTTGGCATCAAGATGTTGATCCAGACTTCCCCAGTGACCACTTTGAATAGGGATCCCTCCCTTACTCCTGGCCTCTGTCCCCATGCACTCCTGCCCATGGATATGGCTATTAGCAGACCAAGATGCCACCTTAGAACAATCTCCCTTGCATAGGGTTCGCTCCATCTCCTGGACAGCTGGAATTTAAATCTTCCTTAAGAAACGTCATGAACTGGATAACCTTTTTTTTTTTTTTTTGAGTTGGAGTCTCACTCTGTAGCCCAGACTGGAGTGCAGTGGCACACTCCTGGCCACCGCAGCCTCGAGCTGCTGGGCTCCGGCGAGCCTTCCGCCTCAGCCTTCTAAGTAACTAGAACTATAGGTGCACGCTACCACGCCCAGTTAGTTTTTTGATTTATTGTAGAGATGAGGTCTCGCCAAGTTGCCCAGGCGGGTCTCGAACCCACGGGCTCAGGCAATCCACTCACCTCAGCCTTCCAAAGCGCGGGATTACAGGCTGAGCCACCA